AGCGTCTAGTCTGAACTTTCCTTGACTCAGCATCACCCCATTTCCTTGTGTCCCATCACTGGTCACCAGAGAGAGGAGGCCAGCACCTCCCACAGCAGGGTTCACACATTCAAGTACGACTCCATGCTGGGACTTTCTGCCTTTCTTTACTGTGACTTTACAACCAGGGGGCCTCCAAGTAACCTCAGTCCCTTCTGTGGGAGGAAGTGAGCTGTGACTGATGCCAGGAAATCACCTTTGGACACCATGCTGGACTCAGTTACTTCACTCCTGGGCCACTTAGGAAACAGTTGCCATCTCTCACCTATAAACTACTGCCTGAGTCCCACATCCACCCTGTCTCTGTCTCTGTCTCTGACAGAGGCTTTAGTCTTGTGGCTCTAGGTCATAAGAAGTTTTATCATGTACCTTATCAGATAATTGAGTATAGTCTTTTGTAAGAGTTACATCAGGTAATATTTACAAATGCATGTAATCCCCCAAAGGAATTTGTCTCTACCTGAAGCAGCTGGTATTGAAGAACCTGCTATCAGGAAATGATTTCCTTTAAGAATATGTAAGCTGTATCACTCTAAGGTTATTTAATATCATAAAATAAGTGTCTCTCAGTGAAGAGGGAAGGGAGGAGAGAGTAAAATGGAAAATTTGAGCAGACTGCAAGTTATTAATTTTAGGAGATCCTTTTCATGCTGCCGCTACACATCCAAAAGAACATAGGTGTGGAGAACTAAATGCTCTTTCACCTAGAAGACTAGAAGTTAAATCCTTCAATGATCACTGAAAATTTGTAATAGATTTCTCTACAAATTGCAGAAGCAATATAAAAGCTGTAAACAATAATCCTGTCCATTTCTAATGCACCCATGAAAATACATTTTGACTCTTTTTTTTCCCTCTCGAGTGACTGTATAAATTACACAGCTGTAAAGGTATTGTCTTGACTTTTTAAAATCTGCTTGTATGTGAATTTCCATTAAATGTTCCTTCTTTAGGTAAAGGAAAAAGCTTGGCTGCCTTTTGCCCACAGCTAAACCACTAAGGTCTCCAATTCTTTTACTGACTAAAGATGCTTCTTCATCTTCTAGATGCATTCTCTCTTTGGATAAAGAGAGGAGAGTCTCCACATAAAGAGACAGAAAAAGACCAGAAGAACAGTGTGCAGGATTTTTTTTTCTTATTGGTCATTGGTAAGTTTTCTGCCATTAGTTAAGAAAAAAGAGATGGAAAAGTTCTACTAAATAATCCAGTCCAGCTCCTCCTCTGTGCTACACTTCATATTCCCCATGCTACACTTCATATTTTTGCTCAGAAAAAAATTTAAAGGGTTTGCATTTGTTCCCATATAAGCTTATTTCATACCACTGTTTCGTGCTTTAACTTCCACTCAGGGAATCCTAAATAATTTCTGTCCATCCTTTCCATTGTATTTGCCAGATATTTGTAGGGTGTTATGTTTTCCCCCAAGCCACTGTGTCACCAGTTTTTCTCTCCATGGCACAGTAGGGCTGTTAGACCCATCTACAGTTACGGCTGCCATTCCTCCTTGTTAGTCTTGCTCCATGCTGATATGTTGACCTTTGGCCATTTGGACAGAATTTTTAGTCTCTACATGAATGTCTTGAGTTTATTTTTGGGGGGGAGTATAGAACAGCACAAGTCATCCTTCCCTAAAACTGAGATTAAGGGGGAAAGAGAAAAAAAAAAATACAGTCTTTTCTGTTGAGAAGCTATAATAGACACAAGACTTGCAGCACATACTTGACTTTCAGTTTCTGGGTAAAATGACCCCTACAACTAGGTTTATCCTTTTTGTCACCCCCTGACAACCGTGTCAAACTATGAGGGAAAAAAATCCATTATTTTACAGAGGTTTAAAGGACCCTTCCTATTCTTCAAAATTTCTACCTTAATTCAGCAAGTTGAACAACAACAGAGCTCTTACAAAACTTTGCCTCCTCTTGAATGGCTGACTTTAAGAGAGCTGAAAAGGTAGAAAAAGCCTCTATACTTTTTGTCACAGCAGTTCATCCCTTTGTGGGCCTGAATATCATGCATGAGAGCAGGAAATTGGGCTCTTGTGTGTTCTCAGCATTCCCTTTGCTTTGACATTTGTAGGAGGCAAAGACACATGGCTGACCAATGGTGAGAGATGAGGATGGTGGGAAGTGCTAAGAGAAGACTGAAAGAAGGAAGTGGTATGAGCCAAAAGAGAAGCATGGAGCAAGGATTATGGACAAACAGAAGAAGTGTCAGGCTGTGTATGGAGGAGAGGATAAGAGATAGGGGAGCCAGATGCTGTGGCAGGAAGAAGATGAAAACAGAGATCAGACAAGCAGAGGTAAACACGAGCCAGGATGTGAGTATGAAAAAATACACTGTTGACAGATCATACAGCTACAGGCTGTATCATCATGAATATTCACAAAGGCACCAAGCTAAAATTGCACTGGCATTTCCTACCACTTGAATGCTTGATTTTGCAATCTGAACATTCTTTTAACATAAATTTTTAAATGTAACCCTCTGTAGATATATAATCCAGAGTTATGTATTTAGATTGTGTTGTGTACATATAATCATGCTTAGCTTCTTTCTATGGAAATGCAATGATACAACTTGCTTCAGGCTCAAGCCTTGAGCTCTTTTCACGTGTCCATAGCCTCAGTCTTATTTGATCAGCATGTAATCACTCTGTCATTCTTCCCTGAATTCCTCCTAAATTACTAAGGAGGTGCTCAAGACTGAATATAATAATTTGTCCATGGTCAGACCAGAGCTATAGGGAAATAATGTTACACTTTATGTCTTCTTGCATAGTTGATACTTCCGTCAGCTACACTCTTTTGCTGCTACACTACACTACAAATTCAAATCTAATTACACGTTTTGCATCATACCTCTGTTTCATTAGTGCTTCCCTGCTGGCTTCTCCGTGCTGCTATGCGTGTTTCTACACAGAAAACAATCCCCTCTGTGTGAAGGTGGGATGGGGGTGGAAGTAAACAGAACACAAATAGTAATTCAGACAAAGCAGTAGAAGCTGATCTACTATTCCAGAAGTTGTTCTACTGGTTGACGCTAGTAGTGGTTCCACCATTCTCCAAGTCAAAAAGCAAGTCTGGAGGATTTAAAAAAAAACAGTTTGGCTTAAAGGGAAATTCAATCTTCTGTAAAGATTATAACAAATATTCTTCCATTTTTTTTTCAGTATGTATCTATCTAAAACCATCTGCCTATACAAAGAAATAAAAAGACAACATCAGTTACAATAGGCTAGGAAGTATACACATTTGAGGTGGAGAGCAAAAGAACTCAGAAGAAAATGGGTCAGGGCAGTCAAAAGGTAACAAGAAGAATATGTTAGGAATATTGAAGGCAAACAGAATCAAAATGACAGTGTTGATTGATTACTAAAAAATCTGACCACTGGAGAAAGAGCAAAAGTGCTAAATAAGTGCATATGGTTTATGTTTGAGGGAAAAAAAAAGTGATAGTACTACATATTAATTGAAACTTTCCACTTTAAGAGTGAGGAAGAGTGATGATAAACAGAGCTACCAGAATTAGTCATTTTAAAATCAGCAAGTCCAAATAACATGTATATAATAGCAACTTTTAAAGAGTTGGCTAGGGAACACTGGGGAAAAAAGAGCAGTCTAAAATAAAGCTAATACTGTACTAACAAATCAGAGAACGCCCGAGTCTTTGCAACCATCAGTTAGCTTGACTTACTGCTTAAAATGCTTTAAGCAATTTTTTGAGTGGGATATAGAAGTTACACATTTTAGATGGTGCAGAGACTGAAAGAAAGATAAATAACACAGAATGCAGGCTGTTGGTACAGAATGACCTAGTAAGCTAGTTGTGGTGAACCAAAATGTTTCAGGATGGGAAAACTCAATGTTGTGAACACAAGAACAAGGAAAGTAATCCATAAAGAATTGAGGTCATGGTCTGAAATAGTCTTAGATGGCTGAGTTGAATAGTCAGCCTAATATGAGTAGTAATAGTGATGTTGTAGACAAAAAGTCATATTGAAAATCTTTGTTTGCCAAAGTTAAATTACCACTGCACTACAATTACTGTGCCCAGTTCTGCTGCTCATGATTTAGCGGAGAGAAGAAGAGTTCAGGGTTCCTAGAGTATTAAGATATATGGGAGGACACAAAGAATTTGATTTGATATAAATATATATATATATGAGAACAAAATTTGATAATAAAGGGTTTCTCAGTCTAGCAGACATAACACGATCTAATGGCTGGAAGGAGAAGTTAAACAAATTCCATGAGAAATATGGAACATGTTTCTAACATTAGAATAAAGTGCCAAGTGTTGTGGTATAGCTTCTATCACAGGAATTACTTTTATCGGGGTTGGATGCCTTACTAAACCACAGCTGTTGGAGATGAAGCAAGAATTAAATCAGAAAAAATACTTAAGCCTGTATTGCTGTTGTATATTAGATAATCACTTATTTAATGCTGTTCTTAAATTCCAGGAATATTTTACCCTGGGTGCACAAATCTGAATGTTTCAAAGTTTAACATTTATTTGTGATTTTTGCTTTTGTGCCTCTGACTGCAAAAACTGGTAACAGAGAATATTTGTATTCCTGTGGCAACTCTGAAATGTAATAATTAAAACACTCTAATATATAGGCATGATTCAGGCATTTATTAGATGGACTGTCCTAGACTTTAGGAGGCTTGGTGGAGCTAAAAGTTTGAAATCAAGTCAAGCTGTAGTTTGAGTGTGCACCTCTAGAGTTTCTGAGTTTTAAGCACTTACAGTTACCTCTTGAAGTTGCATGATTGGTTGTTTTGCATTTACAATGTTTTTCTTTCCTTTATATGAAATAATGCTGGCTGAACTTCCAGTAGTTCAGCAAAACTAATGAGACTAAGCTTATCTGTAAATTTTAGCCCATATGTACTCCTGCGATGAAAATGCCCATAATTATAGAGGAAGTACATTCACATAAACAAACACAAGGAAAATGTATTGAGAAAGATTTCCATTTACTCTTTGTTTGAGGCATAACAATATTAGCTACAATGATTATAGGCAAACTCACATGTTATTCTCTTAATAAGCACATATATATAATTTGATACCCAGTAAATAGCAGCACAAACACTTTCACAAGTCTCTCTAACACAAGGTCATGCATATCAGACAGGCACATCACAGTGCCCTCTGTGAAAGCCTGATCAGCTTTTTTTTTGTGAGATGAAAAGTCTCTCAGTGCTTTTGTATCTCATAGATCCTACAAAAAAAAAAAAAAACATAAATGACACTAAGTCTAACCAATTCTCTATCCAATTCAAGTCTGACTATTCAGTGAAATCAGACACAAGCTAAAAAACTAGTGGCACCAATGTTCTGTATTTGACAAATGTAAGAATGTTCATATCAGCAGGACACCATAAATGTGCCTGTTTCAGGGCACTTCTAGGAAACAAGTGTACAATAGAAGGTGATGAGCATACACATCAAACCAGTTATTCAACATGCTGTTGCTGTTTTCTTTGACGTTGGGTGCTGCATAGGCCTTACAACCCTGAGCACTCCTGAGTGCAAGTATCTGTTCCTCCCCTCGGAAAGGTTGTGTGCAAATCCTGTTGGGGTGGGGCACCAGAGATAAAGACACTGCAACTTGAAAATGGTGACAGCTGCTGAGCTGGCATCACACGCTTGAGATGAGTGTCCAGAAGCAATTTATCGACCTTTTGCTCTTCATACTTAAATATGTTTTAAAACACTGCAATTGTACTCAAGTGTGTGTGCCCCAGGTGCTTTGGGGTCGTGGCTGTAACGTGGCTCAGGAGCATGTTCAAACATTGCTCATTTATACATGTGAAAGGTGGGGGCTACCAGCTGCTGGGCTGCTGCTGTTCTTCCAGAGGCAGATCCTGAGATGATGGTGCTGAGGTTTGTGCTTTTCTCCCTGTCTTCAGAGGAATGTAGCACATGACTACTGACTGAGGATTTTGCAAGTCCGGGGCCTCCTGCACCAACACTGCTGGTCAGTTTCCTGTAAATCCTGAACAAAGAATCCACACATCACAACCCTATCTCTTGTGAAGGCCTTTACAAACTCATTCCAGGATCCCATGAAGATGGTGAGATCCAAGTTTTGCTTATGAAAAACCCAGACAGAGGTTTAGGCAGAGATCTAAATTTAGTCCTTTTACTCCCAGACCAGGTTATCACTCTCCCAGCGTGGGGGGAAGTCCAGAAACACACAAGCCTTCGCCAATTCCTACTCAGAAGCTGATGAGTGCTGGGTGGAACTGGCCACACAGCGGGTGCGGCCATGGCACCGACACAAAAGAAGCTGATTCAGCTCATTCCCAGATAATTTTCACTGTCTTTCCCTGCTGGAATTTGTGGGAGGGCTAGACCAGCAATAGCAGCATCAGATCTTCCTCCAGCTCCTCGGGTTGCAGTGAGTAGCAAAAGAAGAGTGGTAACTCCTGCACTGGTGGGAGTGGTTTGGGGAGCTCCACAGGAAGGATTAGTGCTGGAGCTGTGTCGGGCATGGCGGCCTCTCCTCATGCTACGGTTACTCAGCTCTTTCACAACACTCTAATGGTCTTGCCTCCCGAGACGGGAGCAGGGCTTGCAGCTACTTACTGACCAGTCTAAATGGCAGTCTTGCAGAACCACAAATTAGATCAGAGCAGGCTCTGAAATGCTGACAGATCTGTGCCTATGGTCTCCAAGATTGGCACTGACCATTCAGAGAATAAGAAACTGTGAATAATAATCTTTGGGAAAAATAAAATTGCCAAAATTCTTACTGTTAGTTTCTGAGTCAAGCGACCAGCTTCCGAGCTCTCTTCCACTTGAGTCTTAAGAAATCTCCAGCCAGCTATGAGGCCTGAGAGTCATCTGCGAAAAGAAAAGCTACATAAAAGTTGAAGTTAGGGATAGATGGTTCATAGTATGCTCATGAAGATGCATTTGAGTGATTAATAAAGAAAGATTAAGTCAAAAGTATGAGAGTTAGAAGAAGCCACCAATTATACTGGCTCTGTAGTCTTAGTGTGGAAAATAGGTTTGATGAACTCTGAATCTGTTTCTGTGAATTAAGAGAAGATATAGCAGCACTGTGAATGAAGTAGATAAAAACACGACATTAAAATTAGAAATGAAGAGGAAATGCTAACCAATCTAATAACAAAGTCCAGTATTTCATGAGGTTGCTTTCTGAGGCAGGTAACAGGGGACACACTTCATGAAGTTCTTTTTCAGTTCTGGTTCTTTTGTACTGCTGTACAGCTGAGTCTGCAAGCACAGATCATGCTGTGCTTACAGACTCAGCTGCCTTGTTTTCTTTTTTATTCTAGTGGCTGTACTGCATTAAACAAGCCCAAGTAATAATGTGTCTTTTCCTTTCTACTGCTTATTCATGTAGGCAACTGTTTAAGTTGCTGAGGAATTGTTGTATTACTCTGAAGAAGATATTATTTACATGCTCATAAACAGAAGTAGGTCTGAAATAATATTATTATTAAATGGTGATTGGCATGATGGCTAAATTCAGTACTACTGTCTTACAGAGCACATCTTTATGTTCCTAGATAGTCCTTCAGTGATTGTACAGACCTTTGCAGTTGACAACTTTCTGAGTTCAAAAAGTTTGCAATTATCAGAGAAGCAAAGCTTTAGTATATGGAAGACCTGTCAGTCCAGTCTAGCAGGAGTAAATGCATTAAATTATTTATGAGTAAACTCTGCTTCCTTCTAAAACAGGGGTGTGAGAATTGTTCCCAGAGGGAGTTTGTTTTCTAATTCCATTTCTTCAGTTAACATTAGTATATTGTCTCACATAAAACAGTAATTTATGTATTTATTGCTTTCATTGTTTGTAAGGAGCTGTAGCTTAGCTTTCTGTTTTGCTTTAAGCAGGTTGTGAGACAAAATATGCTTTTTAATGTCAAAGAGCTGGTTAAAACACACACATTGTTTAAAATAAGTCACAATTTATATTTGACATTAAACAACTCTTTTTTTTAAAAGTTTTTTAAGACATTTGCCCAGACAAACAAATAAAAGCACAAAAGGATGGAAAGGTGCCACTGAAGGTGCCACTGTGCCATCATGTCACCCTCTTCAATGACCAAGCATCTGTGTCTGTTGTTATCCACGTTGTCCTTTATGATCTGCTCTCCATTCACGTCTGTGTGCACAAACACCTTTTTGGCTGCTGTGCTCCACGCAGTGTACCTCCCCAATGGTCAGCCATTCCAGAAACCTCATCCTCAAGAGAAATGGAGATACTGAGTATCTTTGATCTGCTTTCAAATTGGAACAAAACTAACTTCTATACTCTCTAGAAAACCACCAAGAACTAAAAACATGCATTCAGTCAGCACCATACAAGCCCTTGTTGTTGAGCATAGATCTGAGAGTGGCTTACAGCTGCTGTAGGGATGGCACAGGCTAGGGATGAAACCTTGTGGCACAGAGACATGCTTGTGGGTTTTGTGCCACCCACAGCAGAAGTCTCATGCTGTGGCACATTTCTGTTGGAAATCAGATGTTGAAAGGAGCTGGTCTAGAAGCAGTGGGAGGGGCTGGGTTGCTGTCCTCCTGGCAGCTTGGACAGCTCTGTTGGACCTCTAGCAGAGTGGTGATCCACAAACACTGACCACCAGCACAAAACAAGATGGCAATCTGCTGACACTGGTGCACATACAGATGCTCTGTCTGTGAAGCACCTCATATCCTTGTGTGACAGGAACAGGTGATGTCTCCACCAAACAGGGATCATCCCTGTGAGTGCCCCGAGCTGATGCAGACCTGCTCTTGCTGCAGCATGGTGATGCACTGGCTGACTTCCTTCTTCCGCACTAGGGTTCCCCCTGGGAACCTGCTTGATGCAGGTGTCTGGGCTTAGAAGTTCTCATCATGACAAAAGCTGTGCAAATCTTACATTTAGCACTTTCAAAAGGACTACATTACTTCAACTTGCTTTGTTTTGAATACAAAAAAAGATGTTAAAGGCGTTGTCACAAGTTAGTTATCACATTAGAGGAATGGTTTCTTCTGCTGTTCAATATTGCCCTGAGTTCCACTCCCTATCTATCATATTCAAGATTAAGTGTGAAGCATAATAACCACTAACTTAGTTAGTGCCTGCAGATTTGTCTTGTCAGGGGAATAGTTATTAGCTTGGTTTCATTTGAAAGATTATAACTTCATCTCTCAACAGGCAGAATTTTCTTATTAATGCCCAAGTAATATTAGTCAGTGTAAAAAAAAGTGACTCTGTACTATTTAGTGGTATTGCTGCCCAGGCTTGTGACAGAAACTACAACTAATGACTGATTCTTTCTTACCATTCAAAAATAAATCTTTTATTTTTAGGGCCTCTAGTAAATTATGCTAGCATGGCTCTTGCCATGAGAAGTCTGAAAATGAAGTATGCTGTGCTTATTTTAGTAATTTTCAAATAATTTTTCAAAGAAAAAAAGGGAAAAAATTCCTAAAGCAGAAAACAGTTTTCTACAAAGAGTGAAAAATAATTTTGAAACATTGCGTATTGACAAATAAACTTAAATTTAAAAAAAAGTCAGTCTCTGAGGTCTTGCTGGGTCAAATATTTTGTGTTTATATTAGTTATAGGTGAATCTCAAACTAATGAAGTATTTGCACTAAGAGTAGACATGAAGTAAGAAAAGCACTAATGTTTGAAAGTGAACAGAGTAAGTCTAACCTTTGACCAGGTGTAGTATCTGTACTTCAAAAAGTATTTTAATAAGTGATGAAGGACACAGAAAAATATACTAAAATTTTCCAGGACAAGGCATGAAGGAAACCTCATTTGCTTGCTTTAAGGGAAAGAAGGAAACTATAGACTATAAGTCCATTCATGGAGGAGAGGGTCTCATTTGAATAATATAGGTCAATAAACTAAATGGAATAAAGCAAAATAAAATAAAACACAACAAAGTAGAACTGGAAGCTTAAGTTATACTAAATCAGGTCAGGGACATTTTAAAGAGTGATGGTATTTAAACACTGGAACAACTTACCTAGGAGTGCAGTGAATCCTTCAACATTGGAAGTGTTTAAATCAAGACAGACATCTTCAGAAAGATATACTATCTTCACACAGCAGTTATAGCCTGGCACAGCCAGTACTGAGTGTTCTGTGGCCAGAATTATGCAGAAAGACAAAACAAAGCTTGTAATGGTTTCTTATGGTTTTAAGCTCTGTTTTCTGAAGACACACTTTCCCTAACATTTATTTAGCAAGTATCATGGTTACAAGACATATGTAGGCAAAGCTCAGACTGAAGTTTAAAAAAGAAAGGTGGGGAGACTGTGATTAATCATGTAACTCTGGGTGTGTATTCATATCACACAAGTAACAAACCCAGTTGCTTAAACTGAGAGGCTGGGCTTCAGTAGTTAGGGATGAAAAGAGAGAAACTCCTTCCAATGGCAGCTAATGGTAGTCATCACTCTCCCTACTGCCCACACAGGTGGCTCTGGAGACATGCCTCCAAAGGTCAGCTGTTGCTTCCTGGCAAAGTCCCTAAAAAGAAGGAACCCTTCTCCCTGTCCCTGTCCCTGTATTTTTCAACTGGCAATTAATTCAAGAGACAAGGTAATTTTCTACTGGGTCAGTTCCCTTTTATGGCTTACAGTGCAGTTACAGGAATTTTGGCACAGTATGAGCAAAGGGATATGGATATGTGACTTGGGAGGAGCAGAACAGTGCAGCACAGCGGGTCCAGCCTTTTGCACCATCCCAGACTTGGACAGTTACATGCAGGTCCAAAAACTTCATTCTTAGGGATTCACATCTGGAGGTGTGACCACAGTTTCTCTTTACATCTGGGGATTAAATAGGGGTAGAAAGCCATGTTCATCCCACTAGTTTCACAAGGTTTTATCAGATCATAAAAGAGCATAAACTGCCAGCTTCATTTTCCAGCAGTCAACAGAGAAAGTTCCTTATTTTTTGAGTTTCTTAATGCATCCCATGATCTGGGAACTTCTGCGGTTCAAAATGGCTGGATGGGTAGAAAGGAGGTGAGAGACAAGTACAGCCTCCATTGTTATAATGCAATTTTCTGTGTTTAAGACGTACCTTCATCAGAAATTAAAATAAAACTCCTCCTGCTCTGAAGAAGCTGATAGCAATATTTGTCTGGGCATTTTAGAACAGATAAGATTCTTGAGGTTTCTGTGTCTTCTATATCCATAAAGAGATGTAAGTGCTACCACTCAATTGAAATTAATGAGAATTAGGCACCCAAATGTATTTGTGGATTTGAACCCTTATGTTCTAATTACTGTGGCAATTAAATATGTGGAAAAACAGGTTCAGCTGCTGGAGTCTTGTCTACACCAAAGCCTGGTGAAATATTTATGTTAATTTTCTTTCTAGACATGGCTTGAGTTTGCACTGATGACTGTGCAAAATCTTTCTCGATTGTAGAGGACATGTACAATGTGGAAGGCCCTGAAACTAAACCTTGTGCACTTGGCTTAGAAAAGATTGTAAGATACATATTCATGAACTGTGTCTTGCTGAGTGAGACAAGATAGTTACAAACAAAATAATAAATAATAAAAATAACCAAATCTTACTTAATGTAAATAGTAGAATATAGAAGAAGCTGATTTTTCCTAAACTGTTTCTGTAGTAGATCTTCATAAATCAGCTGTTCACTGTGCTGATTTCTGAAGGCCACAAGACCATATAACCAATACTTCATGCAACAGCATATACATCTCAATTATTTTTTTCATAAGGAAAGAAGGAAATAAAATGACTGTCTGTTTAATTTGCAGACTCTTTGCTGTTGAGGCCAATATAATTACTGATATTATTCATATGCATGTACACACCACTGAAGCACCAGTGTTAAAGGAGACACCTTCATTCTGGATTTTCTAACTTCAAAGTAATGAAACCCTTAACTTCAAACCACAAAAATGAACTTTTCAATGTTAAGTACCAAGTCCTAGTGTCAGTGCATAGAACAACCTTGGCCAAAAAAGCCCAATTAGGCCATGTAAATGAAGTGCGTTTTCAGCCAGTCCTACTGGGAAAACCAGCTTTGTCTGAATGGCTGTAATTACAGTTGATGGGGAAGGGGGAAAACAAATTTGCTATGCATGAGCCCTTACCAAGTAGGCTTTTTTTTTTCTAACACTTGCATATCTACAAGAATGGCACTATGAAGGGAAGGGAAAAAAGACTTTGTCCTTCTACAAGTTCTTTTTCTCTTCAAGAATCTCAATGATACATGAAGTTTGCTATGGGAGAGGTGCTCCTTTCTCTGATACTCCTTTTGTTTACTTTTCTCTGCCTGACAGCCTCACTGGGCTGCTTGTCATAATTAGCAGCCTAGGTACACACATCTCCATAAAAGCTGTACTTCGTAGCTTGTTTTAAGCCAGTATTTCTATTTTCATATTTGGGTCCCTTCTTTTGATTTACACCCTCAGAAAAGCACGTGAAAGTCAAATCAAACAGTGATGTGCAAAATTCCCAAATCAGTGTCTTTTCTAGACTTTCCGAAGTGTCACTCTTCTCTGCGTCTGTTCTTGAGAATGCACACCCCACTGCTGGTCTGGATTCACTCTGTGTATTATATCACCTGCATTCCTCAAAAAGAGTTAATTTTTCAGTGCAATAAATTTACTCATCTGAATTCATATCACAGTGTGCAGCTTACTCGCTGTATCTCTGGATTGCTACTTGGGTTGTCTATCTCCTGGCAAGGAAAAAGAGGCCACCAGACCAGTATGATTTCCTCCAGGGATGCTTCCGATGTGCCCTTCTGGCTTCTGTGGCTAAGGGCTCATGAAGGTCACACAGCTCTTTCTTAGATATAACTTTCAAATTCTCTGTATTTGTTTTTATGGCTCTAGTTCTTAAATAGTGCAGATTGATTTCTGCCCATATCGTATGCATCAGTATTTCAAAAGGATGCCTCTTCCCAGAAATATAAAGCTATTAATCACAAATGTTCTATTTATGAGTGACTCTTTCATATATTAGTCATAATGTAGTGCATAGCTTTATTTCCTTTATTTAAAAATAGCTAATGATTCTTATTTCAATTAGTATGTTAATGTCAATAATATCAGTGTGTTTTGCAATGGTAAAGAACTAAGAGAGAAGGGATTGGTCAGAGATGAGTTAATTGGTTTGAGAGGATTTTTGTTTTGGCTTGTTTGCTTTTTTTTTAATTTTTTTTTTATTCTATTGATGCATACACTGACTGGAAAAAAAATACAAAACCATATACAGGAAAATTGCACAAACTACCCAAGTTTTTCACAAGCTTATTAAGGGTATCTCTGGCCATTGTTAAAAAGGAAGTTTTAGCACATAAATATTTTAGTATGTCATAGGGTAACTGTCTGTTTTATGTGAGCAATGAAAGGAACTAAAAGCAGTGGAGTCAGGAAGGAGAAAAAAAAATGAAGTTTTAAAGACTACTTTTTTGGCCCTCTGTGGGATCAGTTTTCCAGGCATTGAAGTAGACAAGGACGCACATGTTTTCTGGGTCATGATCTTCACTTCACCACATCAAGATCCCAAGTGTAAACGAATGCTGATCCACCAGCATTATTTTTGCCTGATTCATGCTGTGCTTAGTAAAACTTTGCATACAGGCACATGATCCAGCTCCTGAAGAGTGAGAGGTATGAACAGAAATGAGGTTTCTATGTGAGACAGCTGAACCCAGTGAGCTAAGGCTGCTGCTGCCTGTGTAGGTTGTGATCTTCCCTAAAGGAATGACTTTCCACAGGAAAACTCTTTCAAGACTGATAACCACTGAGGAAAATGAAGCAAACTCCTGAATAAGTTTAAAGGATGCCTACTGTTGTTTCATGTTTTTCGACAAAGGCTCTGGCACTACCATTTCACAACTAGAGGATGTGGTATATATTAATCTTGGTGTCAACAAGCCTTAGTGTTAATCAAGGTGGCATTCTTGTTAGGTTACCTGTTTCCAAAGACTAACCATTAAAAGACTTGTGGATGGATATTAATTCTTATGCAGAGGTCAGACAGAAAGCGGGTCAGGGTGCGCTTCTCACTCAGATCAGAAAGCTCCTTTGAGTTGTCTCAGACCAGGAACAAGTTATAGCAGTCATACAGACTGGGGAAGAATAGTGAAATCTCCAAAAGGAGGAACTGGATCCTGGGCAACTGGCTGTAGCTGACCCTTCTTGATCAGGGGGATCACACCGATGACCTCGAGAGGTCCCTTCCAGCCTCACATTCTATGAGTCTGTGAACTTGCTGATCTTTCTTCCTTTTTGCTATAAAAATCCCCTAGTGGTTAATCAGATCTTTGCAAGATGGACTGGCTCATGATACAGAGGGTAAGGCCATATTAAGGTCAAGCCCTTCCTTACACAAAGGACTGAGCACTCTGAAAGTTAGTTAAATTAGTCTGGTTGAATGTAGCTATTGGTGGGTTCTTGTGTGTGCTT